ATGCAGGGAGCCTGGCAGTAAGCAGAAAGGGGGCACCCTTCCCCAGCTGCTGCCAAATGCCATTGCTTTCCGGCTGATTGGGGTGGCAGGGCAGTGATCAGGGGATGGAGGGGGGATGATTTTCATAAAAGTTTGAAGCAAGTAACAAAAGAGAAGCATTTCTTATGAAGCCTGCACTTTTCCTGTTTAGACTGACAGCATGGGCAAATGGTTCTTACATGTCTACAACCTGAAGAGATCCAAAAACACAGATATTTTGTAGGAGATGGGTGGGAGCAGAAAAGATATGCAAGGGCTTAGAAAAAATGATACCAATGTCACTTCCTTACTCAGCCTCAGGGAAAAAAAGGAAGAGAGTAACTGAATCTGTTTCAGGAAAGAATGTAGCGGGGGGAGGGGCAAAGGAGGCAGGTTTAAAAAAACAAAACAAAACCAACCAACGTTGCTTCTTAAATTCAGATTAGAATCAAAACAGAACAAACCAGCTTGTTTGACCTCATATCATGCAAACTGGTAATGAGAATGGACATGCAGTTAATTTATCCATAAAGATTTACTGCAGTAAAAGGTTTACAGTTGTGACCTACACAAAAATTAAACGGCAAAAATGTATCACTTTGCCAACAAACTGCCTAGTCATCCTTTAGAAGTGTGGACCCCTGGATTACTACTGACACATACTCAGGCTACTAAAACGTATAGCCAAATAAAACAAGGGGAGGGGAAGGGTTGTGACAGCATCTGGTCTGCAAATACTTTATTTACTCACTCATCAACTTCTGCTTGCCTTTACAAACTTGTTTCTGAAGACCTTATGCTAGAAACAGCCTACCTTATTTTCACCACGTATTTAATATAATCATTTAACAATGAGTTAGATAGTAGCAGTGCAACAACTTTTGGTAAACAGAGCCCTGGATACAAGCTGCTTAGCAATAGCACACAAAGAGCCTTGGACTTTAGAATCCTTTTTACTGAGAAAGAACGTCAGCCAAGACATTGGATGGGCTCTACTCTAAATACTTCAACAAGAACAAAAATTAGACAGACAACACACACACATAAACCTCATTCAAATTAATGGAAGCTTTGAATGTAAAGGATCAGGGCCTTAAATGCCAAATTAATTGTTCTGAATGGAACTCCAGGGGTGAAAATTAAGGACACGTATTGGCCCTTTTTGACCTCTTGAAAATTCAGTGACCAGTCAGCACAGGAACTAATCTGAGTCCAAGGTCCTGACAAAAAGGCCCAAAATAAGGAGCCTCTGCCTCAGTGATAAAAAACAACATGACAATATTACTTAGCTCTTTTATAGCAATGTATAAGAGGCCAGTATCATTTTCACCATTTCACAGATCGGAAAATTGGAGCATAGAGAAGTAAAGTGATCTTCCTATTATGACCTAGGGGCAGAGCTGGAAATTGAACCAAGATCTGCAGGTCCCAGTTCAGTGCTCTATCTATACCACACCGCCTGTCCTGACTGAAGCAAATTGGCAGTGAACAGAGATAAACTAAGCACAACTTCAACATGTTTTCATAACCTTGAAATTTTTTTCTTTCCAGATGAATAATCTTGTAACTGACACCTGTTCCTTTATAGATATTCCTTTCTCCATCATGCAAAAGTGAGTTGTTATTCAAGGGTTATTTAGGATAAATGATTGTTCATGAAAAACATTAAAAAAAAACAACACCTCAATACCCATATTTTAAATGCCCTTAAACAGCCACAACAATTTTGCAAAAACATAATAAACTCTTAACAACCAAGTTAAATGTTAGGCAAGTTAACTTGGCAGTTTATTTTAGCACTTATATAAACAGTTTTAAATGTGTAACTTGATTCAGCAACAACACTCCAACTCCCTTAATGTCCTAATATGTAAGCCATAACAAAAACTAAACTACAATATTACTTGTGTATTTACTGTAGTCTTTAAACAAGGATATTTTAATGGATATTAATCTTTTAATTGTGGGGCTTATAGAAAAAGAATGGCAAACCGTAAATTAACTTTTGCAAGTCATTAAAAATAGTTATATCTAGATTCTCTCCCTTTAGTGCATCACAGAACTTCAGTTTTATATGCAGACAACAAAAATAAGTAACTTGGTTCAAATGAAAATCCACTGTCTCTAAGCTATGAGCCTCCAGATGCATTTACATTTAAGTAACACACTGAATATAGCTGTGCTGTCATAACACCATACACTCTCCAAACTAATGTTGCTCTAAGTCCTGCCATGGAACAAAGCTGACTATACAGAACTTTTAAAAAGCTGTTGAAAAAAACCAAAGTTTAATCACAGCTTGTTTGGTCTGTCTAGATCATGCATCACTATTAAAAAAACCCCGTGTCCTTTGCCCCAGCCAAGGATATTTGCTATAATATGACCCTCTACCCTGAACTAAGACATTCTTTAGGGAAATAAACTGAAACCTTTAATTGACCCAAACTGATAGTAGGCAGATTCCCCTCTTGCATGCCAAACAACATATTATCAGCTGATGAAGTCTAGAACAGAAGAATGCAAATCACTCTGTCTGGCCTAGTCTGGTCAGATGAACTAAAAGTTACCACTTATACATACAAATAATTGTTCCACTGAAAGCATTTCAATGGTAGCACAGTTATGACCTACATGTCTATCTAAAGTGTCAAATTCAAGATCTCAAAAAGGTTTAAGAAATGAAACCATGAAAAGAGGTTAACTTCTCTTTAAATCAGCAGAGAGAGGGGAACAACAGGAGATGAAAGGGAATACTGTTCATCCTTTAAAAAAAAAAAAATCTACTCAGTAAAAATGTAAACAACCTTTATTTGTGAACAGTACAGAAAGGATTTTATTTATAGCTGAGATTCAGCCATTAATAACCAACAACTAGTGTAGCCCTACCAGTGAAAACCCTAACTGTAGACATAAATCAAGCTGTTTATAATCACTAAGAAGTACAGGTATTGTTTTCAACAGCAGTTAAAAAATGTGCGCGATCTCTCCTCTTACCTGTTCGAATATGTTCTATTCCATGAGAAGGCAGTTTTCTTTACAGAAACTGGATTTCCCACTATTCATTTACAAAATTTCTTGCTGTGAACATTTGTTATGATATTTGTTCACTGATATTACTTTTTCTCTCACAACCCAGCAAACTGGATAACAGCTGTACAGAAAAGTCACATGATTTGTCCCAGCTCCCACAGGTAATCTGCAGGTGTTGGGAAAAGACAAACTTCCATGTATCTTAACTGAAAAGTCATCTTTCCTCTCATGAGCAACATAGTACCACTGCTGAATTTGGGTGACAGTATGAAGCACCCATTTTAGGATTGTTCATAAAGTCATTCTGTGGAAGGCAATTCATTTTCTACGTAAATTCTTTTATGTCTTTTTTTGGTGAATTTACAACTATAAGCCATAATAGTTGTGTTCCATGATACACTCTCTAAACCATGTGACAGTATCTTTGAGAAACTGATCTCAAAGAAACTGGGTGAGCTCGGAGCCAGCACGGGGCCCAGGCTGGCAGTGAGGGTGGGTTACAAGCTGGTGCTGAGCGCGGGAAAAGCGGCCCCTGGCTCACCCTGTGGCCAGCGCCCTGCGCTACAGCTGCTCACAGCCCACATGTGGCTGCCAGTGCCTGCCGAGGACAGCCCGGCACGGGCTGCAAGTGGCCGCAGCAGGGAGCACTGGCCACAGGGCGGGCAAGGGGCCGCTTTTCCCTGCACCCAGCACGGGGTCTGGGCTGCATGCTGCCCCCAGCCTGTCGAGGGCCACATGGGTAATCCTGCCCCTTGACAGGTGCCTCACCCCCTGGTCGCCATCTTGGGACCAATGTCTAAGGGCCAGCACCAGTGGGGCCCAGAGTAGGGTGCAGGCTGGCAGGGGTCTGTGGATATGGGGGGCATTGGGAGTGAGTGGGTGCATGGGGCCCACACCGGTGCCCTGGGGCCAGTGCCGGTGGGGCCCAGAGCATGGCAGCAGGAGTACAGGGGTCATGGCCGGCAGGGGCTCTATGGAGCTGAGCCAGCTCCCCTCTCCCTGCTGGTGTAGCCCAGCCCAGCTCCACAGACCCCTGCCAGCCTGCACCCTACTCTGGGCCCCACTGGTGCTGGCCCTGAGACACTAGTCCCAAGATGGTGACCAGGGGGTGAGGCACCTGTCAAGGGGCAGGACTACCCATGTGGCCCTCGACAGCTTGCCAAAACTGGGTAAGCGGCCCTCCGCCCAAAATGATTGCCCACCCCTATTCTTACTCACAGCACCCCAAGGTACCGTGATATCATTTTAAGAGTGCTGGTGGGCAAGCACCTACATAAGAGTCACAAAATAAACCCAGAGCTTTCAAATAAGTAGCCAAACATTCAACAACCTGAAGTGGCCTGTCTGAGTTTTTTGCATCACAGAAATTGCTCTAGTAATTTTCTGTAGTCAAAACACAACCAAGCAAGCAAAAGCCAAGAGACGGCATTTTCTGAAAAGTGTCTAGAGTCTAACGGGGGGTCCCTGGAGTCTAACAAGGTTCAACCACTGCTCTAGAGATGAATTTCTGGTCTCTCCTCTCTAACTGGATACCTTACTACATTGTGCAGATGATCACTTACTTATCTGAAGCAGAGAAAGTATGCCACACAGAATATATACCTGTTTTCACACCAACAGATTAAAAAAAACCCACTTATGTCAACATTTGCCCATTTTCTTTCCTCATGTGCAGTACCTAAAATATTTAATTATAATACCCATTTTAAACCTCACTCATGTTTAGATAGTGCATCAAAATAATTAAGTAACCAGTAATATTATGTCTTGTATGTTACACAAAATGACAAGGAACAAGTATGTCAAATCATTGAATTATAAAATACTAGGGCTGGTAGGGACCTCAGGTGATCATCTAATCCAGGGATGTCAAACATATGGCCCTTGGAGGCATATGATTTGGCTGTGGGTTGCTGAACTGGCCCCAGCACTGCCCACTGCATGTGATACATAGGTTGAATCCAGCACAACACACACAGCAGGAGGACAGTTTAGGGCACCACATGTAGCCTGTGTCCCAGAGCCCCGCTGCTGTGTGCAGCACCAAATCCAGCCTGGGCGCTACAGGCAGCACACACCCTGCGTCAGCCCAATGACCATGCACAGTTAGCACATGCTGTAAATGTCACATGAGGCTGGACCACCCATATGCACTGCACATGGCACAGGAGACTACCATGAGGCATGTTGTGCATGAGGCGCTCCACTAGACCCAGAGCCAGTGCACAGAGCTGGTTAGTGGAGCATCGCATAGAGTGCGCACCCCATGCCAATCTCCTGTGCCACACGTAGTGTGAGTGGCTGGTCCAGGCCCGTGCACTCCATGCTGAACCGGCCAGTCCCAGGGCTCATAGCTCCCCCAGGGTATCACAAAATATGTGCTGCTCAGCACTGCATGAAAGACAGGGGGTCGTAGGCATGGGCTGTATGCAGCACCCTGGACAGACCTCTATGCTGCCTGCAGTGACAGGTCCAGCCCATGCACTGAGGACAGCGCACACCAAAACAGCCCCCAGGACTGGTGCAGTACCTGAACAGGACCTGGCACTGCAGTTGTTCTGCAGGATGTCATCCCTGATCCAACCTTCAGACTGGCTCAGGTATGTTCATCCATCCTGTGGGGCCAGATGAGTTTGATACTCCTAGCCTCCCTGCTTGAGGCTACATCATTAATTAAACCATCCCAGCCAAATGTCTACCCAACAATCGAGATTTCAGCAACCAATCTAGGCAATTTTCTCCAGTATTTATGTTCACAATTAAAAAGTTCTTCCTAATTTCCAACCTAAATTTCTCTTGTTGCAATTTAAGATTGGCTACTTCCATCTTGTCCCCTGAAGGCACAGAAGAGACTATCATTATCTTCTTTGTAAATGATTTTTATGATTGGAAGTCTCATCAAATCACCCCTCAAGACTTCTCATCTCCACACCAAAAAATCCCATTTCTTCTAACCTTTCCTTGGACATCACATTTACTAGACCTCTAATTATTTTTGTTGTTCTGCACTTGACTTCCTTCCAATTTGTCTACTTCTTTCTTGAGCTGCAGTGCCCCAAACTGGACATAATGCTCTAATCAAGTGCTGGACGGGATAAAACATTACTTCCCTTGGCCTGCAAGTGACACCTCTGTTAGTACATATCAACACACTATGGGGGGGGGGCTTGTTTTGTTTTGTTTCTCTCAAAAATAGCACACTTTTGACTCATGTTCAGTTTATCGTCTACTGAAATGATTTTCAGCAAAGGTGCTGAAGCACCTTAAGGTGCCACAAGGTTCTTTCAGTGTGCAATGAATGTGCATGAATGAACTCCAGACTTATTTATCTGGAGTTTACTGTTCCCAGGTGTCCTGTCTGCACATGTGCTCAGGACTGCAGCAGGTTCAGAGCAGCCCCAGCTGTTAAGGGGTCCAGGGAAATCAACCCAGGGCTGCTTCCCCAGCAAAATGTGCTGCAGAGGGGCTGGCTGGGGCATGAGGGTACCTCAATGCAGAGCTAGCTGGCAGGCAGGCCCTGCACTGAAGCACCCTCATGTCCCAGCCAGCTGGGGCAATGTCCACACGTGCGCTGCTGTGGAGTAAAAAACTCTGCAGCAGGATAGAATTTGTAAAGTACTATCCTGTGCAGAGTTAATTACTTTGCTCTGGTCTAATAGGGGCGCACATGTAGATGCATGATGTTTGCTGCACAGACAACTAGTTTACTGTGTAGTAAACATCTCATGTAGATGCGCCCAAGGACATGCAATATTAGTACTATTAGATGTGCAAAAATGATTCACAAGATAAACCCAGAGATTTCAAATAGGAATCTATAGTGTTACAAGCATTCTGACCTGTTTTGAACCAAGTTCTTGGCAACAAAATAATTGTTGCATCATTTTTCTGCTGTCAAAACATAAGTGAAAACTAAGAGCTGACATTTTCCAAGCACTGCCTTAAGTCTAATAAGCAGGGATCTGGGTTTTCCATTTCCCATGGAAAAAAAAAAAAAAAACCTCTCCCTTCTTCCATGGGAAACGGAAAACCCAGATCCCTGCTTATGAGACTTAAGGCAGTGCTTGGAAAATGGTTTTCAAAAAGGGTGCTGAAACACCTTAAGATGCCAAAAGATCTTTTCAGTGTACAATTAGTAGATTTGCCCTTTTAACTGGAAAAAAAATGCAAATTTCTCATTTGAATGGAGAAACATACAGATTTTCCAATTTTACAAAGAGCCCTCCATAGGCTACCAGAGTTCCAGACTGCAAGGGGCTGGGGGTGCCATGTGCATGTGCACACATACACATGCACGTGGTTGCCAGGCAGCCTGGTAAGCATCTCCTGTAGGTAAGTCTTGCACTGGGGAGGATAAGGAGATTGTGACCCCCATACAGAGGGAGGGAGGGAGTTGGGTAGAGCTAGGACTGCTGCCCAGCTGGGTGGTGCATGGAGCTTGGGGCCAGAATGCATGGCCACGGGACCCCGGCGGGGAGGATGGAGCCAAGGGAGGCTCATTTAGGGGGAGGGGCTGGCTCCCCGCTGCTATGCATGCTCCTGGGGGGCGAGGGGGAGGAGGGGGCACATGCTGTTCATGGCCCAGTGGGCTAGACCTGGCACAGCAGGACAGAGCCTGGCCAGGCAGGGAAGCTCCTTCCTGATCCGAGTCCCACGCCACCTTGGTGAAGTGCCCCCTGCCCACCTGAGAGCAGTGCAGAGTTGTGCTCCTTGATGCTGCTGGGCAGGCAGGGGATGTCTCGCCATGGCAGCGCAGGGTTTGCAGTGGTAAGGAGCTTCCCCGCCTGGCCCCACTCTACCCTGCTGTGCCAGGTCCTGCCCGCTGGGCTGCAAAGGCCCTGGGAGGGAGGACAGGAGGGTAAGGAGCCCCAAGCCCACAGTGGGCAGCCCACATCTGCCCCCCACCCCTGATGGGCTCTGCTCTGACTGTGCTGCCTGTTGGCGAAGGGAATCCAGGCTCTGCATTCCGCTCCACTGCAGCAGCCAACGCCTCCCACAGGCTGCAGCTTGGGCTTGGGCACTGCTGTGGGGGGCAGGTGGCTGCAGACCCAGGTCCCTGGGCCCAAAGCCCTGGCAGCTGAAGCCCCCTCCAGCAGGGCTGGGTGGGGAGTGAAAGGTCTGGACCTGCATCCTGGTGAATGAAGGGGGAAGGGGGAGCTTTGCTTTCCCATAATAAAAACCTAAAATAAAATACCAATATTTATGGGTACTTAGAATTTATTTTATTATATTGATTGAGACACTGGTATGCTTCTAAATGGCTTGAACATTGTAAATATATCAATAAAACACTGTGTTTGATCAATACTAGAGATGCACTGATACATTGGTCCAATATCAAATCGGTACCAATAAAAAGAAAATTTGCTACATCGGATATCGTCCCGATGGGGCTGATAATTTGGCTAATAAATGCCTGTGCTGCACCCCAATGGCAATGTGTAAGAGATGCATGGGGGTGCACCCCCCCATTTGCTGACTGGTTGCTGGGGGGGGACACGTGCCCCCCCCACGACTAAGGTGGCACCAGTTGCCCATGCTGTGCCTAACCTCAGTGCAGCATGGAGCAGAGCTGGCAGCATGGAGAGCTGCCTCCAGCTGGTAAAATTGGAGGGGGAGGGAGGAGGGAAGGGGTGTGAGGGGGCAGATCAATGCCCCCTGAGGTGAGGGAGGGAGGGGGCAGGGGCAGGCACTGCCCAGGAGGGAGGAAACAGGGGTGCGGGATGGAGGTGCGGCTCATGGGGTGGGGGAGCAGGCTCCTGCTGCTTGCACCCAGGAGGGTGGGGCTGGGCTTAGAGCACATGCCAGCAGCGCTGAGAGGAGCCACCCCAAGTTCCACTGCAGCTCCGCTCCCAGGCCCATGCTGCCAGGTGCAGCCCGGCTCCATGTCCCGCCTCCACCAACGTGCTGGGAAGAACCAAGGTGATGCTGGGCAGCTGGTGGCAGCGGTGGAACTGGGAGCAAAGCTGCAGCGAAATCTGGGATGGCTGCAGCCCCTTCCCAGAGCCACTGGTACCCGCTCCAAGACCAGCCCCTGCTAGGAATAGCCCCGTGCAGTCCCAGCTCCAGCCCGCCTGCCCCACACAGATCTAGGGCACACCCCGCCCCACCCTCCTGGAGTGCAAGCAGCAGCAGGAGCTGTCCCCCTGCCGCAATCTACACCTCTCTCCCATGCCCATGCCCCACCTGGGCAGCGCCTGCCCCACCCCCTCCCGCCCTCACCATGGGGGGACGTTGATCTGCCCCCCCACACCCCTTCTCTCCCCTAATATTTAGTGGTGTTTTATTTTAATCACAGATTTGGGGGGGGGAGGCTAATTAGAAAATTTAAGATTTTTAAACAGAGAAAACCAGGATCCCTGCTAATAAGGTTAAAAAACGCTGGTTTACCATAAACCCCAGACCCTCTTCTGCAGTACTGCAGCCTAGACAATCGTTCCCCAGTCTGTATTTGTGCATTTGATTGGTTATTTTTAAGTGCAGTACTTTCTACTTGTCCTTGACTTTCATCTGATTTTTCTCAGAATATTTCTCCAAAGTACCAAGATGATTTTGAATTTTATCCGATCCACTAAAGTGTCCGATACCTTACACAGCTTGGTATCATCTGAAAAAGAAACTACTTTAATATATTTTGGTATGCTGCTGGTCAACATTAACGGTTTCACTTTTTAAACCCATCTTCTCAACAGAAGTTACTAAGTTGAATTCAAGCTCAAGTTCACCACCACATGACAGTTCAATCAACTCTTTGGTTTTTTGCCTTTTTTTTTTTTTTTTTTGCTGAGAAGCTAAGCAGCCATGAAGCAATGCCATCTGACACACTACCAGAAAAGTAACCATTGAACTGGGTGATAAAATTAAGGCAGGATTTTTTTATGACAGCAATGAAATCCAGATGAATTTTCTGCTGTTCTGAAACAGCACAGCATATGCACCCTTCTGGATGACAGTAGCTCTCTCAGCAAAATGTGGGATTTCATAAGAACATCTCAGTAGTTTATACTGTCCTACTTAAACTAACTGAACCCAGGACTAGCAAAAAACCAGTCAGCTATACTCACATGAAAACAGAGCACCCCAAGCTACCACTAAATAAAATTAATCCACTAAGGTCAAGAAGTCTAAGTCATTACTGTAGCTAAATGTGGCCAGAAGAGTATATTTTGCTGCTTGAGAAATTTCTGATGCATTGCAGGTCTATTACGTTGGCTTGTTTGAAAACATTGGGTTTTTTTTTCCCCCAAGAGGGTTTTCTTCCTGTTAATAACTGCTAAATATATATATATCCCTGCTAAAACAGTCACCTACATAAAATAACCACAATTTTATTTCTGTAACTGCTATCCTTATTCTTAAAGATAGACTCCCTAGTCTTTCAAATCCACTATTAATATTACGAGCTCTGTGGAGCAGGGAATCGTCTGTATGTTTACTGTGCACTGCCCAACCTACCTGTGGGCACTTTAGTTTATTAAATAAAAAAAAGTCCAAAAAGCATATGGGATTTTTCTTTATGTACCACTTGATGTTTCAGTAGAAGTACACTACAGCTTGACAGCCTGCTGACACAAAAGTTTGCCAAAACTAACATGTTTTAATCTCACTACCCTTGAAATCCTGCCTACCTCCCATATCTGCCAAAACTTAGATGATGTTGTCTTCTCCCTCCAGTTCTACAGTCTGCCAGGGATTCTATAACTGCCATTCCAATAAGAGATTTGAGAACTGAGAGGTCATTCTCTACAACAAAATAAAAAATGGGGAAGCAGTTAATTTGAAAAGCCACCAGTTTTACTTCAGTCAGACCTGTGAGGTCATGCATATACTGGTCCTGGAGATGGCTCATGCTCCTTTTTGTTTTTTTTAAACCCACCATTTCCCACCCCATGTACACCTCTCAGTTTTTCTCTAGACATATGTCAGACATGAAAGTCTTCTCAGTTGCCTTCATTTTTACTTCAGAAGAACAATTTTCAAAATTGTTACTCTGTCATCTGGCCCACCAGCAGCTATTGTATATCTGACTACTCCCTCCACTTCAGCTGTCACAACTCAATTTTGTTCTCAAAGGAAAATAAAATATTAATAAAAATATTGTAACATTCGCACAGCATATGCTTCGAAATTCTTCTATCATTAAGATAACACCCACATACTTAGGTGTCATGCATGCAATATGATCATCTCTAACAGGCAGCTGTTTCCTAACTACAAAGGACATCACCCAAGCTGTAAATTAAGATCCACCTTCCCAGCAGGTGAAAGAGAACCAGCTAGTTTCACCAAGAATTAAATTATATAGAGAGAGTTTATTAAATAGAGTTCTATGTGCTTCCCTTATGAAACAACGGCAATCAGATTAGACCAAAACCTGTGAAGAGATGGGAATGCACTAAACACAGTCTGCTTCCCATGACCCCCATTCAACAACCACCTATCTGAAAGTGTAACATATTGCTGGGCTCCCTGAGATACTGGAGAAGATAGTCAATTAGATGGGACAGAGCTAGGAAACAGGCAGCACAATAGCATGATCACCTAAGCTACTCCATACTATGGAGAAGAATGCTCCACACAAAATAATATTATAATCAATGGCTTTAATGTCCTTTCCGCCAGCATGAGCATGCAGTAGTCTGCAGCCATGGCAGAAGGTTTAATGATAGCAAGACATTTCATAGTTTCATAGTTTCTAGGGTCGGAAGGGACCTGAGCAGATCATCTAGTCCAACCCCCTGCCATGGCAGGAAGAGCACTGGGGTCAAACGACCCCAGTAAGGTGGTCATCCAACCTCCTCTTAAAAACCCCCAGGGTGGGAGCCTGCACCACCTCACTTGGAAGCTGGTTCCAGACCCTAGCCGCCCTGACCGTGAAGTAGCGCCTCCTGATGTCCAACTTAAACCTTCCCTCCGCCAGCTTGTGACCATTGTTCCTGGTCACTCCTTGCGGCGCTCGGGGGAACAGGGACTCCCCCAGCGCCTGCTGATCCCCCCTAACCAGTTTATAACAGGCCACAAGATCCCCCCTCAGCCTTCTCTTTTGAAGGCTGAACAGGTTCAGGTCCCGCAACCTTTCCTCATAGGACCTACCCTGCTGTCCCTTGATCATACGAGTGGCCCTCCTCTGGACCCTCTCGATGCTGTCCACATCCCTCTTAAAGTGCGGCGCCCAGAACTGGACGCAGTACTCCAGCTGCGGCCTGACCAGTGCCGCATAGAGGGGGAGGATCACCTCCTTGGACCTGCTCGAGATGCATCTGTGGATGCACGACAGGGTGCAGTTGGCATTGTACCAGAAGGTTCAGGATGTTGAAGTTAAAGGAAGGCACTCCATGAGCATGATCCCAAAATCCAAAGCATTAGCAGCAAGGATTTACAATGACTATTCCTTACCTGGAATGGTCAATATCATTAAAAAGTGTCGAAAATGCTTAAAAAAGCAATCTATCCTACGTATGAAACCAGCTACTGAATCCTCCATTGTGCAGACAGCAGCTATGCCCCATCTATTCGAAACTACTCCCGTTTCCCCTCAACCATTTTTCCACAATGGGTGCGTAATGGGAGAAGCTCAGAGAGCTCTTGCTCTATTAAATCCACAGCTGCTGACAAATTCCTTTTTTAAACAGGTGATCAAACTTTCAATCCCTTTCCCTGCAGAGAATCTTAATTTCATCTTTACTGAGAGAATACAGAAGATGAGAAGCACAGCCATCTCTCAAAAACAGAAACATATGCTTTAAGTGCTGTCTTTGGAAACCTTGCAAATTTATTCATGGTAAGTGACACTATCAAGTCATGCAACTGAATTCTGTCTAAAAAAGACACAAAACTTTAGGAATAAGAAGCTTTATGGACAAGCCTTAATTATTAAAATCCTTAATTAAACATCATCAACTCAATGCATTTCACCCCAGAGGTAAAGTCAAGAATTAAAATGCTGCTTCACATCAAAGAGCCCTAATCAGATACAAAACTTGCATAATCACTTTAAGAAAACCACCAAAGGTGAAACAAAGGCTACAGTTGGTAGAATTTGAGTATCTTTGCACAAGATCTTTCTAAAGCTGAAGTCACTTAAGACTCTTCATGGAAACACTAGGACAGATGTCTGATAATCTCTCATGTAACACTATCTTAAGGCTACCCACACTGTTACTTTGATTTCAAATCTATTTCCAAAGTCGTGTCTCACATCTGGAGTATTAAATGAAAACTGTGTCACATTTTTCTCACTGACTCAGAAATACTCCCTGCTGATTCCTTTCCACTATATACAAAACCCTATCATCTACCATAGAAATGTAGCAAAAGTTGAAATATGGCAAATCATTTAGTGAACATGTACATTTAGATGCAGTTAATTATCTCATATTTAAATTCCAAAGTAGACAAATTATTTCCATTACATCTCTGAAATGCAATGAAAGTTATGGTGTTATACAAGTGTTAACTGATAAGATATTTAAATGTAAAGAAATTTCTTACCTGGTCTCTTATAGTCCAGCATGTCCCAAAGCAGTTTCACGGAAGCTGTGACATCACAGCATAACAGAGTAAGTCAACGCAAGTCAGAGCTCGTGACTTCAGAAGATGTCCAAAATAAAATGAAAATAACTACATTTTAGAATCACATATTCTCACCACTAACATATTTCAAAATTCTACATACATCTGACTTGCATAAAGTTGCTTGCAAATTTCTGTTAAACAACTGCAATTTTCTTTGGACTAGGCATGTCTCAAAACCAAGTAATAAAAATGACAAGATCCTTAAAGATGCTGCAGGGTGTCGCACAATTCTAGCACTGCTGGGCGTGTAAACACTTACATATGATTCACAAGATAAACCCAGAGACTTCAAATAGAAACAAAGGGTCAAAAAACATTGTGACCTGTTGAGGTCTTTCTGAGTTTTTCACAACAGAAGAATTGCTCTATTATTTTTCCATGGTCAAAAAAAAAAAAGAGTGAAAGCTAAGAGCTGGTATTTTCCACAGGGTGCATTGAGTCTAATGAGGCTGAGGACCACAATCTTAAACTAAATGAATTAAGCATCTCAAGTTTCTCACTTTAAGACGTGTTTCCATTATTGCAGCACTTCTTTAAAACTAATTTTTCAACATCTCTTCTAAACTGGTGACAGCAGCCCTGGGCAGTTTTCCGGTAATAGTTTCCCATGCCAAATAATGAGTTACCACAAGCTCACTATTCATACTTGGTATTGCCAAGCAATCCAAAGGGTCTACATAACTGACCTGTCCTATTAATATCCTCCATTACCCCAATCTATGTCATCTTCAAGTTTTACTAAATATTATTTTATATTTTCTTTCAGGTCATTGAGAAAAAGTTCTTGGTCCAGGGCAGTTATGAGTCTGGGATCCTGGTTTTCTCCAATTTAAAAAAATCCCCAATTTTCGGTTAAAAGAATAAGCCCAAATATACATTTTTCCATGATTTAAATGAATCACCACTAGTATAGAGTGTCATTTCATTCAAATCACAGAAAAATGTGGATTTGGGAATACTTTTTCTTAATTAAAAATGGGGGATTTTTTTAAAACTGGAGAAAACTAGGATCCCTGGTTATGACCATACTAAAACACCCCCATGGAATGACAATATACAATTACTCTTGTGCAACTATCCACCATTGTAATCCATGCAATACAAGCAACAATGACTCCGTTAATTAGAATGCAGTCTTGTTCTAATCTTGTCTTGGAATGCAGTCTTGTTCTTGGAAAAATATGAGTTTTTGTGCTCTTTCCAACAATCTCTCTCTTCTTATCAGGTTAGGATCATACACAGCATTCTAATATCAAGGAATTTAGGAAGTAAAAAAAAAAATGAAACTATGCCCTTAATGTATCTGTATGAAGAATACTGTATTAAATAATATGCTATTTATGGAAAAAAACTATTTCAAAATAGCTAGACAGTAGGGCTGAAGATGTATCACTACTCATATCAGTGTTTGTTTTAGAGCAGGGGTTCCCAAACTGTGGTACATGTACCCCTGGTATGCAAGACTTTGCTAGGGGATACGCAGGAGAAATTGTGTAATGACAGATTTAATTTTCATTATAATAATAATTGGCATTTAAGGGTTTATAATATAAAGTGTATGCGGGTAGAGGTACACAGGCAGCTGGTAAATCTGGGAGGAGGTACACAATAAGAAAGAGTTTGGGAACCTCTGTTTTAGAGTACATTTAAAGCAAAAGCCTGATGAAATTTGATATTTTTCAAAGGCCTGTGTCAGAAAAGAAAAAAAAAAATCACTCAAGAATGAAATTTTGCTGTTATGTTACCTTATCTAATGTATCTTGACTATGCAAATTGCTGTAGAATATTAGCACTATTTTGATTGTTAGTATCTAAAGAAGGAGAGGAATTTACAGCACTAACTGCCTTCTCAAAGGACTGTCAACATGTGGAGGCCTATTTCTCCTGTATTTGTCAGATATGCTTCACAAATCCTCCTTTCCAGGCTTATCTTCTATAAACAACTGAAAATGGCTCTTCTCTGTTCAACCACACATTATGTAAGAGCTGATGGTGCAAGAGCAGACAAAATTTGTTTAAAGTCTTTAAAGGCCATACATTCTAAAGTGTAAAGCCAAGGTCCTGATATACATTTATACTAAAGCTTTCATGACGCTTTTCACAACAGTAAAGATTCAGTGCCCTAATATCTTGTCCAAGTTTCAGGTTTTGTTAATTATGTCCTACATAAGTGCCCCCTGTAGTTTCAATTAGACATGGTATTCTTCTTCACTTCCTGTCCTGAATTATTGTGCACTGTTGCTAAGCACTAGTTAACAGTTGCCACATTCACCCAGAGTCAGCAGAACTTCAGTGGTAGGTGAAAAAATTAGATGCAAATCATAGTGTAGGAACAGGAGAAACATAAGAAGTACTTTTAAGATCTTTCAAAATGAAATTGACGCTCCAGAAATAAACAAAACAAAATACAATTTTTTCAAACTGAAACTTCTATTTTCATCTGTGTTAGATAACAGAGGTTCCTATAGCTAAGTACAGTTTTGTGAAAATACAAAAAAAGGGGGAGAGAAAAAAAAGACGACAGATCACCTTGCTTATCCCAATATTAATGGTGAAGCGGGCCCCTCCACTAAACAATCCTTCCCTCCCCTGTATTTACAAAGTGCAACAACTTCAGTCCAACAAACTTTCTGAAGCAGGACTGAAATTTAGTCATAACAAAACCATGAACCAACCCTGACTTCGCTTGTCTGTGGAATTCTATGCAAACATATTATGGTCTTTTTCTTTCTACTTGTCTTGCATGGAAGTATTATACCATGCACTACAGGGATACTTGAATAACTTATTTTAACCAGCACAACAAAAATTCATAATTCAGCTTGTACATTATCAGTATTATTATTATTAGTTCCCTCTTAATATTATGTCCTTGCAAATACAGTGCAGCTATAGCTTAAATTTGCTACTGCTTTATTACATACAGCTGTATGTAATTGTACAAATTGTAATTTGGAGTCACAAAAGCATCTCTCACATATTTAAAAATCAATATTTACTTTATTGCACATTATGCAAAATATTATTTGCAAATATAGCAACATTTAAATGCTGCATGCTACATTTATTATTTTATATTAACAACTGAACATTGTACTTTCAGCTTTAAAACCCAACCATGCTTAACAGCTAGGGCATGCTAAGCAAAGTACACTGTGCTTAACTGTGATACCCAAGCAAGTAATCCATAGTTACAGTGGGACTACTTATGTAAAAAAAATCACATATATACATAGGTTTCATGCACCAATGACATAGCTTTTTGTTGTTGTTGTTGATTTTAACAGTACATCATAAGAAGTTACTCCTGAATAAGGGTACTTTCAGAGAAAATATACTTTATACAGACCCCTAATTCCATCATGGGGCAGTAACAGTGAGTTAGTGGTCAGATAACAGGTTTGGCAATCACTAGAAGGCCTTCATGTTTCTTTAGAGGTCACATACTACACAAGGATTAATAAAGCAAACTGTAATACATACTTGCGTGCAGCAGATGAAAAACTACTCAAAGCCTTTTACCTGTCCTTCAACCTGGCAGGCCTTTGTGAAGATCTACCCAAACAATCTTTTATCAGGTCAAGTACAAGAATCTATTGTCAATGGGACTTAGTAATTACTTGTGGCTCTGAGCTTTAAATAGTAACCATAATGAAAACCCTATGCTCCATTCATTCAATCTACTAACCTTAAATGAGAAAACAAGAAGTTAGTTTTCTATTCAACAGGCCACTCTTGATCATTTAAGGAGTATGTGGCCCTGAGAGAGATACCAGAAATTGAGATCTAAAAAAAGATGTCTTCCACCCCAATGCCACACGTTAAAGAAAGCTAAAAGGCACATGTCGAACTCCCATCTCCAAGGTCCATGCAGAAAGACTGCAAACACAGATCCTAAAAACTTACATTTCTGCATTGCCCTTTTCAGGACTGATACCATTCACAATAAGTAAGTACAGCACAGACATCTATGTTTGCAGGTTGGGGGCCAGAGAGAGCAAGAGCAAGTGGTCTCCCTTCCCCATCAAAATCCCCTTGAAGGTCAACTTGTGCAACCCTGGAGGCGGTCCAAGGGTAATTGGTGCCCCAGGTGAACGGTGTACCTCGGTGCCCCCACCACTTCCAATATAGAGGAAAAGAAGAAGTCTAGAATCAACTTTTACCCCTGAGATCTTTTCAGAGGTCTTTTTCCCCTTACAGAACCACAGGTCTTAGACCAAGGTAGATCCACAGTCAGCCAGGGCTGTTATTTAGAATGACGTTCCTGTTATTTTGTTCTGCATATAATTTTGTGCTTCCTCACAAATCTTGGCGACTGCCTAGTTTGCCTAATGGTTGGACTGGCCCTGCCTGGAGGTTTCTACCAGAGGTGTGCAACCTTTTGCAGATGCCAGGCACCCCTCCTTAAAGGCACTCCTCCACATGCTCAGTCAGTCGCCTAGAAGCCGAGCTGGTAGGGACCTGCAGAGGTTCATCCAGTCCAGCGGTTCCCAACCTGTTTTGTACCAGGACCCCTTTGTAAACAGCACTAGCCAGCGCCAACCCAGTGCCCTCACCCCCAGCCCTTCTGTGTGTGGGGCAGGACCCTCAAGGCCCCCCTTGAGGCTACAGCTCTGCCAACCTGCAAGGCAAAAGCCACAGTTCCCAACGTTTTCCTCCTTTAAAGGAGAATCCTTTTTTTTTTTTTTTTAATTATTATTTCTCAGCGACCCTTTCATATACTTATTCTTAAGCGGGTTGTGACCCACGGGTTGGGAAACGCTGGCCTAGTCCCACCCCCTGCCTGAGGCCGGCTCAGCCCTACCCAAGCCCCCCCGCATCTAAACAGCCCTGCCCGCGACCCCGGCCGACCACCCCGGGCGCAGCGGGGCAGCCCACGTCCCGCGTGTCCGCACCCGGGCCGGCGCCAGGCTCTTTGTCCGGCTCCAGGACCCCGAGCGGCGCGGGGGCTGCCACGGCCGGGACACGCTCCCGCGAGCAGCGGGCGGGCAGCTCCCCGGGCCCGCTGCATCCCCACAATTATTGCAGGGCGACAAAAGGGACCCCCCCGCCAAGCGTCGGACGAGGCGGAGCAGGCAGGGGGCTCCCTTCCACCCGCGCCGCGGCCACAAAGGGCCAGAGGGTGCCGCTACCGCTGCCGCTGCCCCTGCCTTACCGCTGCCCCGCGCCGCCGCTGCTACCGCCGGGCGCCTCCTGTGGGAGCCGGTCTCCGGGCCTGAGGGAAACGGAGGGAGGGAGGAGGAGGAGGAGGCGGGGCGGAGCCGCAGGTGCCTCCCCCTCCTGCCCTGACAGCGGCTCCGGCGGGAGAGGGGCCGGGCCGAGCCCCCGCGGAAGGGGTGCGGGCACACTGGGGAGGGCAGCACAGATGGTGAGGGGGCTGCGGGAGCGGGGCTGGTTTAGTCTGGAGAAACGGAGCGGGGATTTGACAGCAGCCTGAAGGGGGCTCCGGAGAGGATGGAGCCGGACTGCTACTGCTCCTTGGTCTGTCGTCTGCCACCACCCAGGGCAGTCTCAGGTTGCAACAAGGGAGGTTTGGAGTGGGTGTTAGGAAGGACTTTATCACGAGGAGGGTGGGGAAGCACTGGGACAGGTTACCCAAAGAGGTGGGGGTATCTCTGTCCTCCGACGGTTTTAAGACGGGGGTAGACAAAGCCTTGGCTGGAATGCCGTAGCTGGGGCTTTGAGCAGGGGGTTGGACTAGATGCCCTCCAACCCTCCGTGTCTATGATTGTCAAGTGGAGCCTGAGGCAGGGTGAGGATGGGGCTGGGCTGTGTGAGGGGATGGGCAGCTGCAGGGGTGAAGCTGGAGTTGGGGTAGAGGTGGGAGGCAGTGCTGAGGAGATCAGAGAAAGCCTGCAGGGGGGACAGATTCAGCCCAGCAGAGGGAAGGCAGCCTAGGCAGAAGGGGGAGGGAAGAGGATCAGGGTGTGTTGGAGGAGGTTGTAAGAGTGGGAAGAGTCAAGGGGTCAGATGGGACCAGGGCTGGCAAGGCCCATGCATATGGAAGTGGTTGAGTTCAAAGGAGCCCGTGGTGTTGTGACTGAAAGCAGGTAGATGACTGAAGGGTGTGTATGGAGGAGGACGGTAGGATTGCAGCTCAGGGAGACAATGCCTTGGAACCAGCGTTCCCTCTAAGCTGTGTGGCATGCGCAGCCACACAGGCACACTCGTGCCACACTGCCAGGCATGCCTGCACAGCCCCACACACCACACAGCTTAGAGGGAACGCTGCTTGGAGCCCTTGACAGTGAGTTTTCTCTCCTTGACTGAGTTGGGCTACCCCAGCACCTATTGCTGGCCTCCTCCTGTCTCCTTTTTAAGACCGTGTCCCTAGCCCTCTTCTCTCACCTGCCCTCAGGGACACAGATATCAAAGAGCTCATCCTGGCCCTTGCCTTGGCCTCTTCCCTTCGGAACAGAGGCTAATGGAAACAGTAATTATTCTTACTTCATAGGAATCTTCTGCGGGCTCCAATGGAATTGAAAAAGATGGAGACAGGTGCTATTGGATGTATTTAGTACCTCTTGCTTAGTCCATTTCTTTTTCATTCCTTGCAAGTAGGTTACATTGCGATATCAGAGTGACATATAAACATGCATTTGAACATCCAGGACTCTCAGGCACTAGGTAGCCCTGAGAGTGAGCTGGTCCCTTTTGGAGTAGGACCTGCACATATGCACAATTTGTAACAGTGCCCATCACTCCCATTTACCCATTAGTCAAGCTTCTCAACCACTTGTTTCATTTAGGTTCTCAGCTAGTAAGGTACTTACAGATGTACATAATTTTAATTAAGTAAACTAGCCCTAATATTTTCAGTAGGGCTACTGTACTTATACTTCAAGCTAGCAGGAGGCTAAAGTACCTTCCTGGGTCTGAGCCTTCTTTTATTAGTTGTAGCTTAGCTGAACAATGACAGGACAATGCCAGTCTACTACATGGTAATTATCATTATGTTTATTAAGTTGATAATAGTTTCTTGTTATACATTGTACTAAGTTTTTAGATGAAGCTAGGTTTTGAGGGCTTCAATTACCTTTGAAATCAATAGGAAACTGAACAGGTCCTAAAGCTTTGCTTTAGAAGGAAACAAGTTGCACAGTATTTTTTTGCTAACTTCAACTAAGTTCTGCTGTTATCTCTGCAGAAACCTTGTTCCTCTGAATACTGTATGCCCACAGTATTATTGGTATTCTGTAAAATATGACAGAATAAAGTAATATGAATAGTGGTCTCTGGAGATGGTAGGCCTGTGCAAAGTGGCTAGTATTTGCTTCGGATTTGGCCGATTTGGGGGACAGTATTTCGATTTGGTAATTTGAATCACCATCCCAAATCGATTCAGCTGAATCTGATTCGAAGATTTGGCAGCTGCTGAATCAGCTGAATCTCTGAATCACACAGGCCCCATACCCCACCTGCTCTCCCAGGCCCAGCAATGGCTGCCCTGCCTGCCCCGGCTCCTGGCACTTTGAAAAAAAAGACTCCACTCACTGGGTGCTGTCAAGGGGGCGATCCCCACTGCCCCACGCTGTATGGGGA